CCCAGGGCTCGCGCTGTGCGTAACTAGGTGCCAGGGTACAGCCAGACGCTGACTTCGGTACAACTGCGCGTATCATTCTGCGTCTTTTTTTTTTTTTTAAGTCTTTTCAGCTGTATTCCTTCAACGCGCCTTTCTGTCGCGAGGACCTGGATCTCACAGCGTGCACACGACAGTCTAGCGTGGGGTTCTGTGGCGATTTAGCAATCGTTCCTCTGTTTGTGACCGTTTTCTATGGATTCCAATTTTTTACTTTTATAGTCAAGACACAGCAGACGTGTGTGTACATATCTTGGTTTATTTGAGTGTATCTCCGGCTTCTTTAAATTGCAGTTAATTGACCTAGCATAAAACGTGTCCTTCCAGTGTATAATTCGGTGGTTTTCGGTACATTCACAAGGTTGTGCGGCCATCACTAGTGTCTGATGTTAGAATATGTTCTTTTCACGTCAGAATGAACCCTGACGCCGTCCTTCCTCTCTTCCCGGCCCCTCCTGTCACCCGTCTGCTTTGTGACTGTGGTTCTGTCGGGTGTGTGCATTTCACGGAAAGGCAGTCACGCCGTACGCGGCCTTTGCGACTGGCTTCTTTCCCTCAGGGCGAAGTTTTCCAGCTCTGTCCGTGCCGTAGCTTGCACCGGTATTCCCTCCGTTTTGCTGCCCGATAACGTGCGTTAGCCGTTCATCAGCAGACGGGCACGTGGGCTGTTCCTGCTGGAGGAACGGAATTGCTGGTCACACGGCAGCTCTCACGTGCACGCTTTCGAGGAACTGCCGGAGCGTTTTTCAGAGTAGCCGCCGCTCCACGTCCCCGCGTCTTGCCAGCGCGCCCTTGCCTGTCTTTGGTTGTGGTCGTGTCGGTGGACGTGGAGTGATGCTCCGTCGAGGTTTAGATGGACGTTTCTGGTGACGTCCGGCATCTGCCCCGTGCTTGCTGGCCATTCGCGTATCTTCGTTGGAAAAATACCTATTCAGATTCCTTCTCCATTTTTAAATTGGGCTGTTTGTCTTTTTGTCGCTGAGTCGTCAACGTTCTGCAGGTGTTCTGGCTGCTAACCCATTCCCAGATGGACGATTCGCAGATATCTTCTCCCGTTCTGTGGATTGGCTGTTTGGGGTTTTTTTGGTTTGTTTTATGGGTTTTATTTTTACTTTCTTGACAATTTCTTTGGAAGCACAGATTTTAATTTTAGCGAAGTCCGGTTCATCCGTTTTTGTTCTGTGATTTGATCACGTGTGTAGACTTTGTGTGGAAACCACCAAAACCGAGCTGCACAGAAGTGTCCCGTCACCGAAAAGCTCTCCCCGTGTGGCCCTTTGTGGTCTCGCTCCCCTAGAAGCCGTTTCTGAGCCAGCACGATGCCTTCGTCGGCCTGGGGTCATCTGCGCGCGTGTGCTCACTTCCGACGTTGCCGCTCTCTGTTCCATAGGCCGAAACGAGCCAGGGAGCTCTGGGCACACTGGCCAACGTGGTGACCTCCCTCGCCAGCCTCAGCGAGTCCTTGAACAATGGCGACACTTCAGAAATCCAGCCGGAGGACCAGTCTGCGAGCGAGATCACTCGGTACGCGCCCGTGGGCTGGAGACCCCCTCCCGACCTGCGCAGACGGTCGCTGTGTGAAGCCGGATGGCAGCGTTGGGTGCCCACGCTGTGTTGACTCAAGGATTATAAACTTGTCGCAATGACCCTGGACATCTGCCTTGTTCCACGTGTTAACCAGGGCAACGCAGACCCACTCACGTTACGTGTGCGTAACGATCAGAACTGTTTTTCGTTTCCGACTGCGAAAAAGGACATTGAGTAACTTGGCGGAAGCAGGGAGGGGCACCTCTCAGCCAGCAGATGTTATTCGTGTTAATCGCGATTTAACGAACCTGCGTATTCGTAGTTTATCCGCTTTCCCACTTCCATCTTAGCCTGTTTTTCTAAGTAGTGAGCTCAGAGGGTGAACCCACCAGGGCAGCGAGGCCGGGGTAGCGGACAGGCCGCGTTAGCGGGACCCAGACGCCGGTCGCTGCTGCCGGGGGTGCTTTTCTCCGCAGCTCGGCTCCCGCGCTTTGCTCGTCCCGTTCCTGCCTGTCGCGGCAGGCCAGGCCGGCGCAAAGCTGGGGACCACACGCGTGCTCTTGTCCCCGTGTTCACTGTGGTCTGATGACAAGTAAGATCTCGGTCCCGTAGAAAGAGGGTTAGGTCTGAATTAGGTAGGATGCTAGTTCGCCCCTTTCTATGCGGACGGTCTTGGAAAAGCTATTTAACTTCTGCAAGCCTCAGCATCCGCATCTGCGAAATGGATGCAGTGTCTGCCTTTGGAGGGTAGTCGTGAAAAATAGAAATTGTACGTGAAGATTGGTGATAGCTCAGTGCCCGAGTTGAGGTGTAGACGGTGCATGGAAGCTTTCGTTCTCAGCCCTTCCCTCAGCGGTTGGCATTTAACTGTCTTCTCCCCAGTGCGTTGTTCCTCTAAATTACGTCTCGGCTAGAGCTCTGCTCCGCCCACAGCTGTGGATTCGCCACACTTGCCTCGTTCTTGCTCACAGGGCGTTCGACACCTTAGCGAAAGCACTTAGTACCACGGACAGCTCCTCGTCCCCCAGCCTGGCGGACGGCGTGGACGCCGGTGGCGGAGGGGGCATCCACGTCATCAGCAGAGACCAGGCGACACCCATCATCGAGGTCGAGGGGCCCCTCCTCTCAGACACGCACGTCACGTTTAAGGTGAGTGGATCGGCCCGTCGGGACGGTTCTCCGCCCAAGCTGGTCCGCGGTTCCAGAGTCAAACCTCGGAGCGCGCTCGTTTTCCCATCGTGGCATCTGACGTCACGACTTCGGGCACGATTCAGTATTCCAGAATGTCCCGTACCCATTAGGAAGCGTTTTCACTCAGCTTTTGCTCACGGTGCCATTCGGTTCTGAAGTAGGCGCGGCCTGTCGCTGCCGACACAGGCTGGCGCGGCGCTCGCCGGCGAGGGCTGACAGCTGACTGCTCTGTCTGACGTCCCGTGACGACTCGGTTTCCCCACAGGCTCAGGCAGGTGCCTTTGTCCCCTCTCTGTGTCACGAAAGCCCTCGTGTAAAACCCTCGACAGGCGGGCAGCCAGCCCTCGTTCCCAGCCGCTGATCCGACTGCTTGGCCCTCTGGAGCCGCAGAAGCAGAGCTTAGCGTCCTTGAAGAGCCGCTGGGTCCCCATGGGTCTCCCGCGTGCTCCTCCCCCGGCCTCGCCTCCGCGGGACACCGCCGGGGCTCTCGGTCTCCAGCTCGGTCCTCCTGCTCTCCCCGCGCTCTCGCCCGGAGGGATCTGGCCAGGCCCTGCTCAGAGCCGCTGACGGGCGCAGGTCGCCCGTGGGTTCCCCTGAAATCCCTGTTCGCCCGTGAACTTGACCCCTGTCCCCCCCCCGCCCCCCCCGGTGCGGTTGAGACCTTAACCTGCGGCTCGAAACGGACCTGCCGTGGGACAGAGACAGTTAGCGAGGGAGACAGTCGAGACGTATGTTCCCAGCTGCTTTTCGGTGTGGGGTTCAGGGGAGAAGTACGCGTCTACGTGGGTGGGCCGGGAAGCCCCTCGGCTTGGCGACCGCGTTCCCGGGGCCGTCAGCCTCCCGTCACTGAGCGAGGAAACAGCACAGGCCCCGCTGCAGGGCCCCAAAGTCAGAGACGGACTCCGGCCGCCGCCGCGGCAAGCAGGGACGCGCGCCGCCGGCAGAGCAGCCCCGGCCGCCTCACCGCGCGGGCGCCGCCTCTCTTGCAGCTGACGATGCCCAGCCCCATGCCCGAGTACCTGAACGTGCACTACATCTGCGAGTCCGCGTCGCGCCTGCTCTTCCTGTCCATGCACTGGGCCCGCTCCATCCCCGCCTTCCAGGCGCTGGGGTAAGTGGCCTTTCCTGCGCGTGTCCCCGGGCGGGCGCCCCCTCCAGGAACGGCCGGGAGGTCTCCGGGGGCCCTTCCGGCTTAGCGTTCCCCGGCCTCATCGAGGGACCCCGAGTTTCTCACTAAACACGCACCGAGCGACCCGCGGCCGGGGCCAGGCCAGGAAGCTGAGCCGCAGCCCGGGTGGCCGTGAGCGGCTGCGGGCTCAGAGTCACACGCACCAGCACGTGACCCCGCCTGGCGGCACGCGGCAGCGCCGACCCCGCCTTTTCTCCTTCACGGAGCCTCACGCGCGTTTCTCGCGCAGCCCAGCGTCCGCTGCGCCCGCCCGCGGCTGACGGTCTGGCTGAAGGAGCAGCAGCCGCGTGAAAGAGCGTGTGACAAAGTGACCGTCCGTAGGCCGCATGCGCGGACCCGGAACGGAAGGCGGGTTCCCGGGGTTCATCCGCTGACTGCGAGGCCCAGACCCGGGTGCCGGGTGGCGAGGACAGGACTCGCCGGCCGCGCAGCCCTGCGCAGGTCGCTTTGCTTCTCCGAGCCTCGGTTCGTCCTCGTGGGACCCTCGCGAGGGCTCGAGGCCTGCGAGGCGCTTCGCCCAGGCCCGGCATCCGGGGGGACTCGGCAGAGGGCGGCGCGGGGCTGGCAGGCGGCCGGCAGGTGCCACGTGGCTGTTGGACGGTGGCCTCGTCCGTGGTGAAAGGGGAGGCCGGCAGAACCGGCCCCGCGCTGCGCGAGGGGGCTGGAGCCGCAGCGACTCCCAGGCTCGTGGTTGACTCCGGGGAGGCCCTCGCGACGCCCGGGCGCCGTGGCCTCAGGCGCTGTGTTCGCAGCACCGCAGGCAGCTGAGGTTTGCTAAGTGGGGTTAAACCGTGATCCGCCCCCTGCCCGGGGTGCTTTTCCAGTGTGATCGGGAACTTCCTCCCGCAGGGCCTCCCGGCCCAGACTAGATAAAACGAGCGCCACCTTACAGCGGTCTCAGTGACGTTCCGCGTGCGCAGTAACGCACCAGAACCGCACGGCAGCCCTGGTCTCGCTCCTCGCCGTGGCGGGGCGTCCTCGCGGCGACTGGCAGAAACAGCCGGGTCGCGCAGCCCGGTTCTCTGGCCTTCTCAGGTCCTGAGACCAGAAAGGCTGCTGCGTCGGGGGGTTCTGGAATGAGGACGGGCCACTCTGCCGTGTGCCGCGCAGGAAGGGCCAGGGCAGGGCTGGAGCGGCCTCGGCTGGACCTGCGCTCCGGCCGCGGTCCCGGCTCCCGCCCTCAGCAAACCTTGCTGGGCCCGCCTGTGCGGGGAGTGCGGGGCTCGGTGCCCGTGTGCCCGCACCCGCGGACCTCACACTCGGCCTCTGTCCCCAGGCAGGACTGCAACACCAGCCTGGTGCGGGCCTGCTGGAACGAGCTCTTCACCCTCGGCCTGGCCCAGTGCGCGCAGGTCATGAGTCTCTCCACCATCCTGGCCGCCATCGTGAACCACCTGCAGAACAGCATCCAGGAAGGTAGGCCCGGGCGCCACGCCCGTGTCGGCCAGGCCGGCGCCACGGCAGCTTGGCTGGTCTCGGCGTCCACGGGCCGAGGGGGCACTGTTGGCTCGCGGGCCTTGACCAGTCAGAGCACTCACGTTCCTGCCGGACCGCCCCCTTGGCATGCGATGAGTGTGAAGGAGAAGAAACATTTTAAAAGCCAAGCTCCTGATAGGCAGTTAGTGATGTTTCCAGAACAATCACAGATCACGTTTCCAGGTGCACTGACAGGCTACTTTTTCCGTGTATGAAACTTCGCAAATCCTCAGCACCCCCTAAAGCAGGGACTGGCAGCTCGCTTCTCATAGGGGGTGGCCGAGGTGCCGGGAAGGGGCCTTTGCTGGCCCCAAATGAAACGTAAGTGGAAAAACGGGGGCACCAGCCTGGGTCACGCCACGCCTAGTCCGAGACGTGCCGACCTCACCCCAGACGCTCCCCGTGCATCACCCGATTCTCTGCCAGTGTGGTCTGTGGGGACGTCTCGTGTCTGGGGGCGACTCCACCAGCGTGTCGGGATGGGAAACCGCGTCTCTCCACGCGCAGCGTGGCCGCCACACACGGGGGCCACTGTCCGGACGGCGCACGCCCAGGATCCACACTGGAAACCTGCGCTCGCGCGGAACTGCGTGTGTGCCGGGGCGTCGCAGGTGTTTGGAGCTAGTGGGCGTCAGTGACCTCCTGCGCCTTGTTTGTCTAGTTATTCCCTTGGAATGGTGACATATGGGTGAGGCAAAAAAAAACTTTATGAAATTTAAGTAAGATTTGTTCACAAGTGAGCTTTATTTACTGTTTTTTTTTGGAGACAGAGTCTCACTTTGTCGCCCAGGCTAGAGTGCCGTGGCGTCAGCCTCGCTCACAGCAACCTCCAACTCCTGGGCTCCAGCGATCCTCCCGCCTCAGCCTCCCGAGTAGCTGGGACTACAGGCATGCGCCACCGTGCCCAGCTAATTTTTTCTATATATTTTTAGTTGTCCAGCTAATTTCTATTTTTTTTTTTAGTAGAGACAGGGTCTCGCTGTTGCTCAGGCTGGTCTCGAACTCCTGACCTCTAGCGATCCTCCCGCCTCAGCCTCCCGAGTAGCTGGGACTACAGGGATGCACCACCATGCCCAGCTAATGTTTCCTATATGTTTTTTAGTTGTCTGGATAATTTCTTTCCATTTTTAGTAGAGACGGGGTCTCGCTCTTGCTCAGGCTGGTCTCGAACTCCTGACCTCGAGCGATCCTCCCGCCTCAGCCTCCCGAGTAGCTGGGACTACAGGCATGCACCACCATGCCCAGCTAATGTTTCCTATATGTTTTTTAGTTGTCTGGATAATTTCTTTCTATTTTTAGTAGAGACGGGGTCTCACTCTTGCTCAGGCTGGTCTCGAACTCCTGACCTCGAGCGATCCTCCCGCCTCGGCCTCCCAGAGTGCTGGGATGACAGGCGTGAGCCGCCGCGCCTGCTCACCTGGAGTTTATTTGTAACTGAGTGTGGTAACACTAATGCCTTCAGGAAAGCATTGTCGTGAGGATTAATGAACGAACATATAAAATTGTTTTGACAACTAAAAAATGCCAACACTAAACGTGAACGTTCGGGTCAGCAGACACTACTAGGTGCCTGCAGAGACAGGAAACCTAACTGCCGCCATGAAGCGACGGGGTTGTGAGCGCAGAATGGAAGGATTATCGGTTTCCCTGCAGGTGCGGGCGCTGCCCGGGGCGGGCGGGGAGTCGCTGGTCTCGGCCTCGCTGTCGAGGCAGGACGCAGGATGGGGCGGAATTCGGGTGCCTGTTACTTCGCCTTCAGCGAGAAGTGAGGCTCCTGACCATCCTGAGGTTGCTGATCCGTGCGTTACGAGTGAGATCGCTCTCCCGTTCGTCTCCGTCGGCGGCCCCTCGACGACGCCGGTGCCGCTGCTCTTCGCGGCCTTGCTCAGGGTCCGCGGCGTTTCTGTCTTCGCAGACAAGCTTTCCGGCGAGCGGATCAAGCAGGTCATGGAGCACATCTGGAAGCTGCAGGAGTTCTGCAACAGCATGGCGAAGCTGGACGTGGACGGCTACGAGTACGCCTACCTCAAAGCCATAGTTCTCTTCAGCCCCGGTAAGACGCGGCGGGACCCGCGGCGCTTTGCCCCTGCGCTGTGTCTGCCGGCGCCGCCGAGCGCGAGCACGCAGAGCCCGGCCAGACGGAGCCTCGCGCTCTCGTGACGGGCGCTCGGCTGGCTGACACGACACCCGAGCTTTCCGTGCCTTCGCAGCCCGGAACGCGCGCGCCACGGTGCCCGGCGGTGCCGCGCTGGGCGGGTTCTCTGTGTCCTGGTCACACCGCGGCCCAGACCAGACCGCAGCCGGGAGTGCGCCCACCCGGCGTCCTTTCCCCTTTTGGTTCGGTTTGGCTCTTCGCCGACCCCCAGGTTCGGTTAAGGCCCGTACGTACATCCCAGTGCGGAGCGACGCTGCGCACGGTCCTGGCGGTCGGCAGGGCCGGCAGCCCGGGTGGGATGGTCGTGGAGAGGAGAGCGGGGGGGAAAGACCGCGAGGCCGGCCTCGCCCGCTGCCCTGGGCTGTTGGCGCGAAGCCCGCAGGGAGGTCACCGAGGCTACCGCTGACCCCGCAGCAAGGGCCGGACGCGGCTTAACCTCCTCCCTCCTCCCGCCCTGCGCTCGCGAACAGCGGACAGCTGGTGAAGGGCGGGGACGTTACGTAGTTAAATATCTAGAAAGTCGATGATCATTTCTGATTTCACGTGAGTTTGGAGTCGGCGTCCGGAGCCAACCCGGTGGGGCTGTTCAGGCTGCCGCGTCCGCTCAGAAGCCCTGGCCCCGCCGGCAGCCTTCAGGCCGTGGCAGGACGCGGGTACAGCCACCGTGTTCTCCTCCTGACGCCAGAGTAGATCCGCCTTCGCGTCCCGTCCGTTGCGCCTGAGAAGCCTGTCAGGGTTTGACGAAGCATAAACACCGAGGGGTCAGCAGGGGAGACTCTGCAGACACGGGGGGATTTGGGGCTTTCTCTGTTTCCAGATCACCCGGGTCTGAGCAGCACGAGCCAGATCGAGAAGTTCCAGGAGAAGGCGCAGATGGAGCTGCAGGACTACGTCCAGAAAACCTACGCGGAAGACACCTACCGGTGAGGCGCGGGACACGCTTGCCGGGGCGGGAGGGAGCGGCGGGATCGGGAGTCCCCGTGCAAACCGTGTTGGCCTCCCTGGTGGCTCTGTCACTCTCGAATTCAGACGTGGCAGCAGCGCCGGGCGGGGCGGGACCCGGGCTGCTCCCGCAGGGCCGCGTGGAGGGCGCCGCCCGGTCGGGGTGACCCCGTGTCTGGAGTGGTTTGAAGGGGCTGCCCCGCCGGCGTCCTGGACAGAAAGGTCTCACTGACAGAACCGAGTCTGACCCCTTGCACGGGTGGGCGAGTCACGTAAAATAACGATTTACCCTCAGGCAAACTGAGGGACAGAAGCCCCTTGATGTGGGTGACATTTAATTAGCAGTGTCACTGGTAATGGGTGGGCAGCAAAAATAAATAAAAACGAGCCTTTGTCGTGCAGGTCTGGGCAGGGCAGGCAGAGTCGCGGCCTCCTTCCGGCCGGGGCTGGAGGCGCTCTTCCCCGCGGCCACGCCCGGCCCGCCGGGGCACAGGGATCTCTGGGGCCCTTTCAAGCAAAGCGTTTGGTGTTTCCTCCCCACTGTGTCCCCCGAAAATTCTGGAGCAAAGTCGAGGGCTCAGGGAGACACACGGCTCCTGGCCCAGACCTCAGGCTGCGGGGACTCCACGGAGCAGAGACGTCCCCGACCCCAGGCGGGACAACCGGCTGTCCTTAGTCTCTGCACTGAAACCGCGACGGTCCCCGGCCGTCCCCGTGGTGTGATCAGGGGTCCTGTGGCCGGCCCTGCCGGCAGGGAGCCTCTCCTTTCGGTCAGCTCCGCAGCCCAGACGCGGCTTCCGCAGAGGCAGGGCCCCTTCTCCGCTGGGACCAGAGACCTCCTTGGGAATTCAGAGGAACTCCAGCCTCGGCACACACAGCAAGGAACCGCCAAGTGCCGCACCCGGAGTCCGCGTGCGCAGCCAGGCGTACGGGCAGGTTGTCCCCGAGGAGGTCGCGGGCGACTCCACGCAGCCCCATGGCCAGAAGGCGGCTGGAAGTGGCCCCTGGGGGCCGGTGGCAGAGCCACAGCCCACTCTGGGTCACCCAGACGTCACACCGAGCTCTGTGGCCTTGGAAAGCAGACAGGACGTCTCTGAAAAGTCCTGAGTCGCTCCTGCTCCGTTCAGGGACCTCGGCGCAGAGAGCGGCAGGCGATTTGGTGCCAGGAATGAACTAGGAGGCCGGGCGCGGTGGCTCACACCTGTGATCCCAGCACTCTGGGAGGCCGAGGTGGGCGGATTGTTTGAGCTCAGGAGTTCGAGACCAGCCTGAGCAAGAGCGAGACCCCGTCTCTAC